TATGTAAAAAGTACAATCAGTTTAGTTAAAATATTAAAGGGAATTCTCACTTTTTAAAATTCTAGTTTGCTTTTTTAAAATCGAGCAACTCGTGCTTTTTTAACTTAAAGAAGGACATCAACTTATGTATGTAGTTTTCTTTTTTCTCTCTCTGCTGGTTATCAGATCATTGAATAAAAAGCTTTTTATTGAAGCTCTGCATCAGTTGAAAAACTAAGGCCATATGTGTTATTTTCCTCTCATTTTGATCACTTTCTTGACATATTTGGGTTTCCTAGGATGATCCAAATGCAGAACTATCAATGATAAAATCCATTTTTTTGTATTAGTCCTTAGATAATCATGCAGATAAATCTCAGTCTCACCAGCAATATCACATTGAGGGACTTTTTTTTTTAAAATAAAAAATATTTAATATGCATGAAGTAAAAGAGGGCAGGAAATTAGGCTTCTGTTCAGTAGAGATACGATGGTGTGCCTTTTAACCAGAAAACACATGTTTTTTGTGTCTGTTTTGGTTAGTTTGTGTTGGAATATAATTTGTGTGTTTTTAAAAAGCTAAGAAACTGTTTACTGGTGACTGTACTGACTCTTTTTTTTTCCCCTCTTGGTTTTCCTCCCACCTGCTGCACATTCAGAGAAGTCTCAAAGTTTCGTTTTCTTTGATGACGGTAAGCTGTGTTAATTGGATGAAAATGTCAGCATCGGCCCCTGTGAGGCTGCAATCAGTGGCTCACTTCTTTACCAATCACCATCAGTATGCCATGTGTGTGTTGTTTTTTTTCCACACTCAGGACTGGGTTGACCTATTGAGTCATCGTATGATCACAGACACCAGGAAAATTTCACATTGTCACAAATCTGGCTCTTCACCTGACCCTTAAATCTGTTGCAGGTCCACCAAGCAGATTGATGGTCCATAACTTTCAGTTTTTTTTATTACAGAAACACAAAATTGGTTCCAATTGAACCTTTGCGTTTTGTCACATTACAACCACAAATGTCTCAAAGTAGCTCATTACTATTAAGTGAAAGAAACAGGATGTATGGAATTGTTTAGTCAAAATCTGGTTAAAATTTTGTGTGTAAGTTGCTTTCTACACACTCCATCCAGAAATAGACGACCTTAACTTTTTGCAGAGAATGGTTCATTTTAGATTATAGATCTAGAACACTACCAGAGACCCCATAAGAATTACTGCTGTTGTTGCATCAAATGAGGGGTTCTGCAGGCAGAGAACATGACACATATTATAAACCTCATTGCAAGAAACAACTGGCAAAAAAAAAGAAATCTGATATCCTTTTTTGCCACTGCACAACTACGGACTAATAAGACTCAGATTCTGATCAAGTATTTTGAAGATTGTTGTTGCAGTGTAAAACATATTTTATATTCATACCCTTTAAATGTGATGATCCTCTTACCGATAAATAAATGACCCAGTCCCAGTGGCCATTTCATCACTATTTGACATCATAGCCTTTGGGCGGTGTGTTCTGATTGGCTATGATGGGCTATTACAGTCAATGTTCCATTTGCTTCTTCTGTGGGGAACACTCCTCTGGTTTAATCACCTTCTCTCACACTCAGAAGAAGCCAATCATGTTTTCCTTTGTGCGTGTTCATGTGTGTGTGCATGTGTTTACTGCCTGAGCTTACAATGGTTGGGGCTGAAGTCGATCTTTTTCTGTAGCATGGGATCTTTCACCTTTAGTAATAAGCCTTAGATCATAATAGAAAAGGTTTCTTTAGGTGAGTGTGCAGGTTTTTTTTTTTTTTTTAAAGAAACACTGATCATCTCTGTGTTCTTTTGTAGTTGCACATCTCTATAGATGTTCTCCTTTCTTTGATGTTCAACTGGCAGATGGACCAAAAGAATTAACATTTGAATTACTGGCCTGATTTAGCATGTTTATGAATTCATCTTTTGCTTATTTGTCACTGTCGGCCACAAATAATTTACTACCTTATGGGATTTGGGAAAACAGCAATCTGGTTTTTTTACCCTCCAACCAAATTGCATGGATAACAAACTCAATGTTTCCACCAAGAACCCAGAGATCAAAGTGGGCTATCCAGCCATCCAGTCTTGCCTTCTTCACATTTATTCATTATTTTCTATTGAAGTTGGCACATTTGACATGCTGCGTGTAAGCATATGTGATCTTTTGTGTGTGTAGAAACGGCGGTGTTTGTATGGCACATACTGACGAAACCAAGTGGAAATCTTGACTTCAATGACAAGATTTGAAGAAATCTTAATTAGTCACTCAGACAGTCCCACCAGCAGTCAATCCACACACCCTGTACTTTCCTCAAGCATCAGCTTTTTTATTTAAAATGTTATTAGAAAAATTCACCCATGTGCAGTGGTTTGTTTATACATATAAACAAACAGCTAAGTTGTTTTTGATGGGATTTTATCTGAAACTCTCTGGCTAAGTTCACACAGCAGCCTGAAGTGATCAAATCCAATTTCTTTGCCCACATGCAACCTGTATCTGATCTTTTCATGGCAGTCTGAACAATACCGATCCGATTTTTTCCTATCCGACCCAAGCCACTTGGCTATATGATCCTGGATCCGATACGAATCTGATCTTTTCAAATGCAACCTGTGTCTGAACGGCCAGGTCGCATTTATCCGACCTGAACCTTATTAGTTTGTGTATTCTGTTTTTATACAGTTGGTGGTTTGTATTGTGGTTTTCCTTAATATTTTTTTCTATTTCTGCCAAGTACCTAAAATACCTCTGAACCCACCCAACACAGGACAGTTTTTTTACTCAGCTGTTCACCTACACCTCATGCCTAAAGAACACCTGTTTGAGGACAACAACATCCATACTCTGGCCAAGGAAGACACTCTGGTTTGAGAGAGGGGTAAAGGAAGCCATCTTTGTTAACCTGGGGAAAAAAAACCTCAACAGGGGAGGTGGTCTTAGACATAACCTGTCAGATTGGAGGCTTAATGGTGTCTCACATAGATTGTGTTTTTCCCGTGGAGCTCTCCCATAGAACCCTTCTTTGCAAAGTTTCCTTCCCATCATTGCATCATGAATAGGGATCTCTTTGTGACTCATGAGGTTTTTGGGGATTTAGACGTTTTGGGTAAAAGATGTTGGAGTAATTTTGGTAGGTTTCCCGGAGAGTTTACAACTGTGCTGATTATTTCCAACAACAGCATTTTATCTGGTACTCCCTCCCTGGACTTACCTGACCAACATGCTGATTAATAGTTCTGAACTGGTTGTAGGGATATGCTTTGTTTGTTTGTTTTTTTTTTGTTTTTTTTTTGTTTTTGTTTTTTTGTCACCTTTTTAAATAGAAATAAAACCAAAAACGACAAAATCATCCCTTACAGAGACTGACTATATTAATGTAAGTCTCTGAGGTCAAACAGATGACAAATTCGTTAAAGGAAATCTTAGTTGTTTGAGTTATTGTTTTATTTAGCTTTATAGTTGGGGTTTAATTTTTGATCTGTGTGTTCTTCATGATTTGCAGAATTTACACATAAATAATGAAACAAGTTTACAAACATCTTTATCACTGCGAACTTTATTAATGTCTGCTTGCATCATTTTGTTGTGGAGCATTAGCCCAAAGTTTGTTGGTATGTAGAATCCAGTGACCTTGGTAAGCGCATTCGGTGCTCTCATTCTGTTTTTTTTTTTTCTCCACTTTCCCGTAACCTTTACTAGATTCTTTTCATCCTCAATCCCTCTTCTCTATTCCTTTTAATCTTTTCTTCTAGCGTTTGTCTGTCTCCATTTCCCGCTCTCCCCTCAGCTCATCCCTGACGTCAATGGGAAATTGGATGGTTTTTGATTACTACTTGGCTGTCAGGCTTACTGCTATTAATTGTATGGAATCCCAGTCCATCTCCTATATTCATATATTTCTCTGCCCTCTTTATGTTTCCGGTTCTCCTATTCATCTTGTCTGATTTTGTTCCATTATTTTTCTCTCCTTGTTCACTCGCTCTTGTTCTCCTTTACTGAATGTTTCGTTTTCTGTTTGTTTCTCTATTTCGTCTCTTTCTCCCTTTTCACACCGTACACTTGCTTCTTTTCCTTCTTGTCCCTTTCGTCTACTTTCTTAATTTTTAGCTACACACGCACACCTCTTTATTATCCCCTGCGCTCTTGCTCCTTGAGCACAGTGATACTGTTGTCATGGTGACGCCCATCATTTTCTGGCATGAATGGAGGATACTTTATTGATGAAATGGCATGGCAGAGGGAGAGAAAAGAAGACTGATGGAGAGGAAGACAAAGACGCACAGAAAGAAAGAAATCACTGGCAGAGAAAATCAGAATGATATGGAAATGATCATCCCCGCTGCTTATGATACAAAACATTTCCACCCTGTCATTTCCCTATTGCTGATTAGCTAAAGAGGATGCCATAAGACAAAGCAAGCTGGATGTTCTCAGTATATTCAGTCTTGCTGAAGAATATCCCGCAAAACTTAATGGTTCATCATTTTTAGCACAGAAGTCATACTAGAGATTTCTCTTTTTAGGCAGCGATCCACTGCTTTCAGCTCTGCTCTGTTTAATGATTTATGCTGTGCAAATATGCCAGCATATTAAAGTGTTTTTCTTTTATCGATTTAAATGAATGCTGGTGTTCCCTGAGGTTGGATGGACATCCTTATTAGCCTGTCGTGGTCTAATATTTCCAAACAGTACAGCCAGACGTCACTGTTTGAAGCAGAAGGCAAGCTCATTAAACACATCCTATGTAGACGCCATATTAATAGCCTTCTGATGAGACACTACCTCTCTGTCCACAACATTCATTTCATAAAGCTGGCATATAATGAAATCAGAGGTGTATATTTTATCTCTAAACACAAAGTTACCATAAATATTTTTGAGTTTTTTTTGGGGGGGTGGGGGGATTAATTTGTGCCAAAAATAAAGATAGGTGGAGTCTCCTGAATGTGAAGTTATCTTACGCTAACATCTGTTTAACATCTGTCCTGCAGTTCATCTGCTGTCTGAGACGATCCAAGGTGTGACGGCAACAGCCACTGGGGTCCAATACCAGCAGTCCTGGCTCTGCATCCTGTAAGCATGTCTCTCTTTTTTTATGCCTGCAAGTTATTTTCTATTTTCAAACATTTACATTAAATTCATTCCTGGGTTTTGACGTATTTGAGGACAAGATGCATGCAAAACAAAGATTGTGCTTATTGTTTTTGATAGAGCTTAAATTTTATCATTTTAAGTTTGATGCCAAAAAAAAAAAGAAAAAAAATTGTATGTGATAGCATGCATAGTGGACAACAGATGATTTTACATTTTTATCCAAAGGAGAGCCTTTCATAAAGTAAGAACATCTGTGTAAAGAGCTTAAAGCTACCATACTTTGCTACCATACATCAGACTAACCTATCTAAGGGGGATTTTATGTGACCAAATAAGCTAGTATGATATTGCAGCCTTGGAGATATCCAACTCTCACCAAAAACCTATCTGACCATATCAAAGGAGGGCGTAACCCTCTACTCTAAACCACCTGGTAGATTCGTCGCCTTTACCAGGGGAGACAGTTCATGTGGGTTTTGCCAAAATGGAGGCAAGTTTCCAGGCTTTCTTTTGGACAGATAAGATAACTTAGTACAACAGTGAGGTTTGTTTTGCTATCAGCCACCAAGTACTTTTTCTTCCCAGCAAAGGTAGCATCTTGTTTTTTTACCCTAGCTAGGACATCCTTTGATGCAACAATTATCACTTACTGTCATTCTCCACAGAAGTCATACTAGCTGTCAGCTATGGCTATTAGCAGTAGCTTATTACCAAATACTGGAAGGACATACAAGCTATTGGCCACAATTAAAACTAGAATTATGTACTTCATCGTTCCACGTAGTAGTTAATCTGTGCTAAATGGGGAGGTAACAAAGCAAGCTTCTCGATTGTTTGCACTTTATTTTGTAATATTAGATTATTTAGATGGGAGTAAAACTTACACCCTGGGGCTTTAATATTTTTTCTTCCAGGGTTGATCTTTTTTGCTCCTTCCGAGCCTTCTGTCAATTCTGTCTACCGTTGATGTCCAGATTCCTGATCCCCACAGCATGATGCAGCCGTTATAATGATATGCTGCTTATTAACAAGGGGCGTGCTTTGTTTTCTTACAATACTTTGCTTGAAGATTAAAGTTCAGACTTTTTTATCAGACTGGAGCACCATATTCTAGATATTTGCCTTGCTCTCTATGTCAAATTGACTTGTTATACCTTTATTTAAACAATGGGCATAAGGACCTGCTTCCACAACCAATATTTGACTTGTCAGAAGTTTCCCCTTCTAAGCAGTAGATCTTTGCAACTCAGAGTTGTGATGAAAGGTTCGGCTGCTTCTTTGATTAGTTTTATCCATCTCCTGTTTCAGTGTGCTGGTTTCTTTCTGTTATACCCCAATCCAGAACAAGTTCAAAGCTCAGGATAATGTTTCAAATTGCCTGTTAGTTGTTTTCTTTGGTGCTTACTGTTTATTTATGTTCTTTAAAAAATAAAAAAATAAACTTCTCTACCTTCACAGGACAGCTGGGTTTATCTTAAAATTTAATTACACACAGGTGGATTTTAGCTATTAATTAGATGATTTTATTAAGGAAATTCATTTAAGACAATTGCAAAAAGGTTTAAAAAATTGAAAGTTCCACTTCCCAGTAATGTGTTGCTTTCAAGGAATGAGAATGATCTCTCAAACAATAATGCTGTCATGTCTATATGGACTTCTTGCCTCACACATCCTAATTATCCAATTAGGAGTCAAAAGTGTTAATGGTAAATTGACTGAATTTTCTAGTCATGCTGACCACTCAATGCGCTTTACACTAGAGCCACAATCACTCAATCACACTCTAAGACCACTACGCAGATCGGTTGGCAATTTGGGGTTAAGTGCCTTGCCCAAGGGCACATAGACATGTAACAGGAGGAAGCTTGGATTGACCCTTTTGATTACAAGATGACCACTCACCCCACTGAGCAAATGAAAGATAATGCACCTTATAAAGAGTGTCATGCTTGGTAGGACAGCTTCAGTCATTTGTACAAGTGTCTCAAAACAGCACATTGATATTCAAATCACAAAGCTTTCTCTCTCGCTGTGTAATTATAATAAGAGCAAAGGAGGAAGTTTGCTAATACTGGGGGTGTTAAAGTCCATGCCAGGAAAGGGTCAACATGGATGAGAGATTCTATATAAGGTCGGACATACACTGTACAATTTTTTCAATGGTTGTACTCAGCTACAGCTCAAACTGTGCAATAAAACAACAGGGTTTAAATGTTCACAGCTCAGGATGTATGTTCTTACACTGTACGGCCCGACGCTCTGATGCGATCTACCTGCTCACACTGCATGCCCAAAAACCATACGTCAAACTCACCACCTAGAGATGGCGCTGGTCGGACTCATCAATCGGAAAGAAGAAGTAGTTTGCATGTCCAAACTCCGTACTTTGAACATACGCAGTGCAGAAGGTTCTGGTAAATCGGCTCATAGCTCTGCTTCAACAGCAGGATTTACCCATGAGTGCTGACAGAATGTCAAACATGTTTCATATTCTCCCGACCTTATGACCCCTGATCTGGCGGCGGTCATGAGATGCTAATCGCCCCTCGTTACCCCCTATATACTATATAATGCAGGACGATGAGGCTGAAACTCGGCCGGCTGTTTCCTACTAACTTATAGAGTAGATTTTGTTCCGTTATTGTTAAAAACACATTTTGTATTACTATCCAGAAAAACAAAAATGCAATCTAGAAAAAAAATTCTTAAGGTTTTGAGAGTAACTATACTGTTTTCTTTTTCATTTCATTATACAAATTGCATCGTTTTCAATTTCCATTTTACAGATCACATGCTACTTCCGACTGGAGGCGAGCTTTCCTCTGGAGTGAGGAATAAAGATACATTTATATTGGTCTGCTGGCCATTAGCATTAACATCCTTTTGGTTAATGTGCATGTCAGGAACCAAGCAGTGAGGTAAAGGACAAAGGCGTAGAAAAAAAAAATGTACTAATAAACAAAAGAATAAAAATCAGAAAAAATAGGCCCAAAAGAAGATATCAACTAAGACAAATCTAACCAAGGACAACAGACCAGAACTGACCTCTCACAATGAACACAGAGCTATTCAAACACATAGGCTAGCCTACAAACAACAAGGAGGGGAGGGAGACATTCAAAAACCAAAATGTATTTTAAAACAGTGGAGCTTTGAGTGTCAGACAGATTCTCCAGAGTCAAGTCCCCCAGTGTCACCTGCTTGTTGGTTTCCTCCACTTCCTTGTGTTACTCCATATTTGCTCCTCCAGCTAGTTCTTTCAACCTCAGCAAAAGAAAAACAGTTAGTGAGCTTGAAATACTGTTCATAGCGTGTTTACTAAATGTGTGCACCCACATTAGCAAACATCCTAGGATAAATATGCTGTGTGAAACAAACATTATATTGACACTGAAATAGTTGGAGGAACCTCCACAGTTGCATATCAAGAGCAAGGACGTGTAATGGCCTTGAAGTGATTGCTGTGTCACACAGTTTGAAAAGAATGCAATACTTAAACGGAAAAGAAAAAACATTTTAAGAAATTAAATTAGCAATTATCAAGTCTTTAAATAATGCTATTGAAAACTTTTAAAAATTGGAAAAATATTAAGTTAGAATATCAAGTTATAACATTTTTCAGTTACGGCGTGCACACTCTTGCACTTTCTATTGTGTGAGGAGGGTGCTTAGAAGTTTTGTGATCTGTTTGATCCATCTTTGCCAGGGGAATGCCCCAATGTTGTTGCTACACTCTGTGTTGATAATTATTGCTCAGATGTACTAATGAGAACTGCTCACATAGCCCTTAAAACAGCTTCTCCAAAGATAAATGAAGAATTCAAAGGAGATTGTTCTAATGTGCTCATAGAAATCCACTATACTCAAGTTTCATAGGTAAACCCATACTTTTTGTTGAATTCATAAAACACCACCAGCATGGGCTATTTATCGTGCTTTATTTCATCTGAATAAGAAAGCTTTAAAGCTACTATTTGAAACAATAAAGCCAAGTGTTTCCACTGTAAAAAAGGGTAATGTGTCCTTTAAACCTAACAGTACTTTCTCAGAGGAAACATTTGACCATCATTGCCTGAATAACTTTCTTCATGGCTCTGTGGTTTTCCAGTCTCTGAATGTTTTTTGGTCCAGTAACACCTTAGGATATTTCATGTTTACTCGATGAGATGGAAATAGCTATCTGTTGCAGCTTTATCCTTTTTGAGTGTGTCTTTTCAAAAGGGTTCTCCTGCCATTGGTCTTTATGTTGCTGTCCAGGCCGGCACAGAATAATGCAATTGGACAGCAGACAAAAAAATACAATATCCCAACTTTGATATTGTTGGATGATTATCAAGAAGTAGTATATTAAAAATATTTTTATGTTTATCTTTTCCTTTTTTAAACATTTGTTTGTAGTACTAAACTACTTGCTAATTGTACTATAAGTAATATTTCAATGATCATCAAAGGGATTTTTTTTTAATGACCTTTATCTCCATAGCATATGGAGATAAAGTTTTTCCGGTTTTTCACTCTTCATGCCATTGGGTCTAGAATTTCATTCATTTAAGCATCTATTTTTCATATGGCTGTGTACCAGCTGCATTCAAACACACTGTTGTGTAGGCTATTAGAACAAAGAGGAATCTCAATCTTAATGTTCTTTCTAAGTACAGGCCAATTTCCAAGTTACCCTTTATGTTTGTAATTTTAGAAAAGTCTGTTTTTAATCAACTTTAAACCTTTTAAATACTTAGGTTGTCTGTGAAGACTTTAAATCTCGTTTTAAATCCTTTTTTAGCACTGAGACAGCAGTTGTTCTTTTATTTATTTATAAACGTATATGTGTGTATATATATATGTGTATGTATGTATGTATGTATATATATATATATATATATGTGTATATATGTATATGTATGTATATGTATATATGTATATGTATATGTATGTATATTTATATGTATATATATATATATATATTAGGGCTGCAACAACGAATCGATAAAATCGATAAAAATTGACTTTTAAAAGCGTTGGCAACGAATTTCATCATCGATTAGTTGTGTC